ATTTTTTCGTGTGGCTTTTACTGTTACAGTGTATTTCTTGCCTCATTGTAATATACGAAAAAAATATTCCTGAATATGAAAAGGTTGTGATAAAAATAAAAAGACATAAGGATTTTAATTTAATAAATCACATATGTGTGTATATATATATCCGGTTTCATTCCAGCTCCATTATGTTACTTTGAATCCTAGCTTTACTCCCCAAATAGAAGTATGTAGCCAAGAAAACAAAACTCTTTCTATTACACTGAAAACACCTTTGTTCTTGAAAATGACTGAGGTGATCGAAAGTACTTAAAAGTTAAACACGGAATTATGATAGTTTATCCACGATTGTCATCCAAAAGCTTGGGTCCCGCTGCACAGATTTTTATTTGAGAATTTGAAATATACAAAAATACATTAAGCAGATATATTTGTCGGCTGGATTTTAACAAAAGTTAAATCGCATACACACGCGCGCTTGCGCACACACGCACCCATGTGCCTACACATGCACGCACGCACACACGCATATGCAGTTATTAGCAATTCATCTATCTGCCCAGTTTTGAGGATAAATCAACATATATATATATATATATATATATATATATATATATATATATATATATATATATATATATATAGGATAAATGAATACAGAAATCAGACATTTCCTTCAAAGTACTTCTGGCACTTCAAAGAATCCAATAAAACACCTACAGTAAAATGGACATTAATAAGAAAAGCTAGAATATGTAGGTCATTAAATGACACATGTCCTTTGTGCATACATGAGAAACTGTATATTACTAAGTTTATAAAAAATAAAAATTTACTGAATCAAAAAAATTAAATAGCTATTCTTTGCCGTCATTGTCAAAAGTTTCCTTAAATAATATTTAAAAATAAAATTAAAAAATACAAACTGGTAATATACATACTTATATTTGATATGAAAAAATAATTTTATATAATGTAAGTAATTCTATTACATTTACTAGTTTTAAAAAGAAATATAGTCTATTAGTAACTGAGACTGAAAATATTTTTAATTTTGAAATTGTAGTTAAATAAAACGTATTCTAACCTAAACATCCCATAAAAAAATTCTTTAAATATACAAATTCGGAAAAATGCCGAAAGCCTTTTTGCCGTTAATAATAAATGAAAAAAAAAACAGACGACATGCATATAACAATTGTCAGAATTCGTTGAAAAATACATCCCCACCCACCCTAAACTTAACCTCTTTTATGAACGTAACTCATAATTTATACAACAATGGTTAATAAAATTGAACACGCTACCGCCCCTTTTCTGAATGATTGGATTACCCTGCATCATAGGTAACAGCGAATTATGGATTTATGTGTGAGTTTAAAACTCAGTAAATTTAAAATAAGTTATTCCCAATATTCACTTGAAGATGAAATGGAACTAACGCTTTTTATTTAATTATAAAATTAAATTTGAAGTTTTTAGCTTCCATTTCTGAAACATGTTTATTACTGAGTAGCAAAAAAAAACATTTTAAATCAGTTAATTTATAATATATATATATATATATATATATATATATATATATATATATATATATATATATAGTCATTAACAAAAGTTTATGATCAGCTTGTAATTTTACTATGTTCAAATTTAAAAAAACAACTCAGTAAGAAAAGTAATTTATGAGAGACTGGTTCAATTTTACCTACAGATCTGTACATAACAATGTTCTCTATTTATTTCAATCAAAATAGTCCAGAGGTCAGTATTTTGTATGATCTCTTTTGTTTTTGATGACTGTTTGGATGCGCGCCGGAACATACTGATAATCACGTGATTCCAAAATTCAATTTATTTTTGTCCATACTTCTTTGCTAGCTTCTCTCAGTGTTTCAGTATTTCCCATAAATTTTTCAATTGGATTCAGATCTTGTCTCTTCTCCGGCTACGTCGATTTTGTTAAAAAGATTCTGAACGACATTTTACCAGTGGCATTGAACACCTTCATACATAAATATGAATGCGCCTATGCAGTTGCAGTTTTCTCCCTACACTAGTTCCACATACCCTGCATCATTCTGCATTGCACCTGGATTGCAAAAAGTAGAGTCCAACTGTTCCATATTTGGACATGGTTTCTCAAATCATCCAGCATCGTAGGCGCTTCGTAGTCTGAAGTGTATACTTTTCATCACATCTCTTACCTACCAAGGGGTTTTATAAAGTTTATTTTATGCATGACAAACTATAATAGAGGTGATTCATCTTATACTATAGCTTTACTCCTGTCTTCAGATCTACAGGTTTCATCTTTCTTAGTAAATGTCAGAGGCTTGGATTTCATAGCTGCAGTTAACATGCTTTCATGATTTTGAATATATATATATATATATATATATATATATATATATATAGAGAGAGAGAGAGAGATATGAACAGACATAGATAAATAAATAGGCAGATATGAGGAGACTGAGATAGATAATGAACAAACTGAGATGTATAAATAGATAGAAAAATTATACACATATGTCCATGTGTGTGTGTGTGTGTGTATGTATAGCTTTGTGTGTGCGTGCATTTGTGTGAATGTGTAAATGTGTGTCTAATCTGTATATGAAATTCTATATGTAAACACAGGAAAAACTGTTTGCATTTGACTACATACACACTGACAGACCTGACATAATGGCAGATCATAAAAGTATTTCAAGGACACCAACTGTGGATTTAGATACTTGGAAAATTTTAAATAACCTAGACAGCACAACTGTATATATAAATATTTAAGGATTCATATATATATACATATATATATATATAATTATTATTTATAAAAAAAAAATATAACATAAGTATGTTATAAAATCACATATAAATTTATTTTATCTTCAACATCATCACTTGATAAGACACCGAGGGTGTTGAAACAAAATGGCTATTTTTGTAGTGATTTTATAACATACTTATGTTATAATGATTTTTTTTTATAAATAATAATTATATCTGCTCTACTTTTTATTGATCACTCTATTAAGAATAGTAATTGTTGGTTATGGGAATTCATTCCGTATATACCAATTATATACTTATATATATATATATATATATATATATATATATATATATATATATATATATATATATATATATATATATATGTGTGTGTGTGTGTGTGTGTGTGTGTGTGTGTGTGTGTGTGTGTGTAAAGGAAAAACCATACTAGCAAAGCTGTAAGAGGTTTAGCCAGTACGTTTCGTCCACTGAGGATATTTTTCTTTTCGCAGTGGATGAAACACATCAACTAAATCTACTTACAGATTTTCCTAATGTTTTTTTTCCTTTATACATATTGCCCTTTTCTACAGATTAATTCAGAGAATTTTATATATATATATATATATATATATATAATATAAATATAAAACTGAACATTGAAGACAAAACTCAGGGCGACAGCCTGTTTCATGCTGGACGCAATCGCTGCGTCTGGCATGAAACATACTGTCGCACCTCTGAATGATGACTTCAATGTTCACTTTTATATTACATACGCTCTATCTCTGATATTGAGCCCTTTTGTCCCTAAATATAGCACACCTTAAAACTATATTTCTTCATATATATATATATATATATATATATATATATATATATATATATATATATATATATATATATATTACTTCCGTGGTATAGCGGATACTTGTATTTGAAATAAACGACACTTATTGCTGGGCTGTAATACTCTCTGTAGCCGATTTCAGCTCACCGGGATCAAATGTGGTTTCTCTACAAAGGTGAATGCCGGTTCGATGACAGGCGTAGATCACATTTTATGTATTAAGATTTTTCGAATTCGCCAGCTGACTGACGTATTTGGCATTACTTAAGATAACCAAAACAGAGCGCCTGTTTAAAAAATACCACTATAAAAAGGTTTGAAGTAATAACAATGCCGGATTAAAAACTAAATGTATAAATTCTTTACACACACATACACACCCACACCCACATACGGATATATATATATATATATATATATATATATATATATATATATATATATATATCTATCTGCATTTAGCTAGATATATTTGCCCGCCATCCCTATTAAAGCAAGATGTGACACAAGGTCGTTTTTTTTTAAGTGGGGTGGGGACGCAATGCACATATGATAATATGGGCAAAGGACAAAATTTTCCCCAGTCCCCACGACAGCTGTCTCGATATTACACCGACCCTACCCCTGTTGCTGCAATGAGGGAGGTCCTGCTGTAAGGTTGAAATCCCAGTGACTAGGCGCTTTCTGCCATTTACTAAAAGAAACGTTTACTCCACTTCCAGTCAAATTTATCTATTGGTATATTCTTAAGACAACACCTGAATAAAGATTAGATATATACTTTTACAAATATATATATATATATATATATATATATATATATATATATATATATATATATATATATATATAAAGTGTACATATATATATATATATATCGTAAAAGTATATATATATATATATATATATATATATATATATATATATATATATATTTTGTCTTTAAAATACTGAAAGCAATACTGTCTATTCCGTGAAAATTTCATTAAGTCTTGTGTCTCCATCGACTCTTGCACCTTTTGATCCTGTCTGACAGAATTCCAGACATTGGAATTACGGCAGGCTACTGTCCTTATTTGCACACGAGATTTGGTGGAGGAGGGTCGGAAGGTGAGGTTTATTGCGCCTGGGCACTTGGCAAACACAAGCTGCCTTGAAAATCAAAATTTTGGAGGACAAAGAGACATTTCTTTACGACCTTCTCTCAGGAAAATACTTTCTTCTCTCACCCACATCATCTCAATATCTTTCTTCTTTTATTACTCTCTCTCTCTCTCTCTCTTTCACTTCCATGTTTACATTATCTCTCATATTCTCTCTATTTCTTACTTCCATATTCTAATTATCTCTCATACTCTTTCTCTCCCTCTCTCTCTTTTTCACTTCCATGTTCTCATTAACTCTCATACTCTCTCTCTCTCTCTTTCACTTCCATGTTCTCTTTATATCTCATACTCTCTCGCTTTTTCACTTCAATATTCTCATTATCTCTAATATTCTTTCACTTTTTCACTTCCATGTTTTCATTATCTCTCATACTCTCTCTCTCTCTCTTTCACGCTACCTATTTTTTCCTCTCTGTCCCTCTTTTTATATATATCTCACGTTTGATCGTTTTACTGAACTTTGAATCTTTTATAAATAAAATCATTCTCACTGTCTTCATTATTCTTTTCCTCGCTCTGTTATTTATACTATAGTCTAAACCTTGTTCTTTTCTCTCTCTCTCTCTCTCTCTCTCTCTCTCTCTATCATTTCTGTTCTCCCATTTTCTCTATCTCTCTGTGTCAGTTTCTCTCGTTTTCCATTCTCTCTCTCTCTCTCTCTCTCTCTCTCTCTATCATTTCTGTTCTCCCATTTTCTCTATCTCTCTGTGTCAGTTTCTCTCGTTTTCCATTCTCTCTCTCTCTCTCTCTCTCTCTCATTTCTGTTCTCCCATTTTTCTCTATCTCTCTGTGTCAGTTTCTCTCGTTTTCCATTCTCTCTCTCTCTCTCTCTCTCTATAATTTCTGTTCTCCCATTTTCTCTATCTCTCTGTGTCAGTTTCTCTCATTTTCCATTCTCTCTCTCTCTCTCTCTCTCTATTATTTCTGTTCTCCCATTTTCTCTATCTCTCTGTGTCAGTTTCTCTCGTTTTCCATTCTCTCTCTCTCTCTCTCTCTCTCTATCATTTCTGTTCTCCCATTTTCTCTATCTCTCTGTGTCAGTTTCTCTCGTTTTCCATTCTCTCTCTCTCTCTCTCTCTCTCTATCATTTCTGTTCTCCATTTTCTCTATCTCTCTCTGTGTCAGTTTTCTCGTTTTTTTCTCTCTCTCTCTCTCTCTCTCTCTCTCTCTCTATCATTTCTGTTCTCCCATTTCTCTATCTCTGTCAGTTTCTCTCGTTTTCCATTCTCTCTCTCTCTCTCTCTCTCTCTATCATTTCTGTTCTCCCATTTTCTCTATCTCTCTGTCAGTTTCTCTCGTTTCCATTCTCTCTCTCTCTCTCTCTCTATCATTTCTGTTTTCCCATTTTTCTCTATCTCTCTGTCAGTTTCTCTCGTTTTCCATTCTCTCTCTCTCTCTCTCTCTATCATTTCTGTTCTCCCATTTCTCTATCTCTCTGTGTCAGTTTCTCTCGTTTTCCATTTTCTCTCTCTCTCTCTCTCTCTCTCTCTCTCTCTCTCTCTCTCTCTCACTTTATCACTTTCCATTCTCTCATTCTTTCTCTTTCATTTTCTCTCTTTCCATTTCTGTCTATATATATTTCTCATTTCCCCCTCTTTCCATTTTCATCTCTCTCTCTCTTACTTTCACACTTTCTCTCTCTATTTCTCTTTATATCTCTGTATATATCTATCTCTCTAATTCCCACTTTCCCTCTCCTTCCATTACTTTCTCTGTCACACACAAACATATATGTTATATATATATATATATGTGTGTGTGTGTGTGTGAGTGTGTGTGTGTGCGCGCGTGCGTGTGTATGTGTGCGAAAGAGGGAGAGAGAGGGGTCTGTCCAGAAACTATCCAGCTATTTAAAATTAATGTAAAGATGCTTACCCCAGGCAACGACATTTCAGCCGTCTTCAAGACACTCCCTTTGGGTTTTTCATGCAATTACACCGGGAACACCTCCACCTTTCTAAATAGCCTAAAACCCCCTTTTCTCAGGATTGTAATCACCTACCTAGTCACGTTCTCCTTAATCTCGGTCTACGGCGTCTTAAAAGCATTTTTTTTTTAATTTGGAGTAAGTTAGTAATCTTAGGGGACCCATATCTTGGTTGTAATGTCTCTGTATGGAAGAAAGTGTAATAGATTTCATTCAATTAACCCCCAAAGTCCTGCATTTAACATGATGTAAAATAAGGTATCAAATCACCCAGAACACAAACTTGTACAGAGGTGTTTCACTGCCGACTGAGTAACCTCAATGTAGAATTTCTGTTTAGATATACAGTGTATTGTCTTCTCTAATAAGTTGCCATGTTAAAATCACATGGCGAATCTGATTCATGAGACATTTGGAATGGTTGTATGGCATCCGGAAAGACCGCATATGTACGCTTATCAACCCATGAAATTCATTGAAAACGTACCAGACAGAATATATACTAACATCACAAAAACTTTTGATTATACAGGGTGCCTAGTAAAAAAGTGGTAAATTCAGAAATAAATTTATTTAGCTATCATGATTCATACATAAATTGAACAATCATCGTTGATATTTGAAATGTTTGTCTGAATGTTCAACACAAAGTAGAAGCGTGGTAACCAGGAGGCAGTAACTTTGCAGATAGTGCCAAGAGAAATTTCGATCCAAGCTTCGATTAAGTTCCACTTCAATTAATCAATATCGACAATGTCATGACGATCGTTTTGCAAATGAGTTAGGAGTAGATTCCACATACAGTCATCCATAATATTCAGATCTTGGTTTTTAGAGGGTCACTGAGATGAATCAATTTGATCTGATGTATTTACTTGAAAAATAAATTTACCGTTTTTTTACTGGGTACCCTACAGTTGATTCTATTCATAGTTTTTGATGACAGAAAATTATTTATTTTTCATTCTTTTCCATATTTATTTTAACTGAACCATAGCGAAAATAGCGGGTTCCTCTTAATGTCCCGTTCTACGCAAAAATACGAGTATAATCCTCATAAATAGAGTAAGATAAAATACCATGTACTATTTAAATGTAATGTCAATCGACGTCTCCAGATGCTTTGATCTATCCCCTAACCTTCTCTTCATCATTTCCTCTCTCACTCCTTTTTGCTCCCGCTCCAACTCTCTGTAACCCCTTGCGTGTTAGTGGTTTCCCGCCTTGCTTGGGGTGAAAAAAAACAAAACAAAAAAAAAAAAAAAAAAATACCGCCAACTCAGTCTCATTCCGAACGAACAGTAACTGATATCAAAGTGATAAAATATCACAATATACCCAATCAATGGTTGTCTGAAGATGACCAAAGGATTCTTAGACGAAACGTTGTGTCTATTACAAACTAAGATTAGAACAATATTTGGGATTAATTGAAGAATAATGACGTTTTACTTATTTCAGAAATGTAATTCCTGTTTTTGTTTATCTTTCCAATTTCTCTTTCTGCTATCCATTCACAAAACGTTGAATAAGTTTAATTAGATCTTTCGTTATGATTTTGCCTTCAATGTCTAAGATTCTCCAAGCCTTCTTTCCTCATCATGTGCCCAGAAATGTTTTGCTGTCTCTTTCTGAACGTGACTACATTTCTTTATGTTTCTATTTTCCTCTCGATTTCTTCACGGCTTACATTTTTTCATAAATTGTTATAGACATAACTCTGTCACTTCAAGTCTCTTCTTTATCTGTGAGGAGATTATACAATATTTACTGCCATATAGGGAATTAGATATTAGATGAGAAGTTCAATACTTTTTCTTTGTGTTTAAAAATATTATTCTATCTCTTAATTCTTTGCTTGGATTCAGGAAAGCAGCTTTCGCTTTCTTATGAACCTTCTTTGTTTCTAGTTTCCTTAAGACTTTCGTTGCTTACGTCTTCCGTCTATGCTTTTCTCAGCATTTTATTCACAAAACTTGATAAATTGTCAAGACATATTATTTTTGCGTTCGTTTTTATCTTAATTTCATAAAAAATCATAATTATAATCTCATTTCGCACACTCAGTTATATCTCTGGTTCAAATACATGTATTTGAACTGTATTGTTAGTATTTAGTAGAAATAATATTAGTTTTCTAAAGTAAAATAATCCTGGGTGAAGTCGTTTAATGTTAATGATTTACTTCCTGAAGCTAAAACTATCGCCGGTTTTACAAGCAATTACTTGTGCTTCCGAAACTAAAATTATGACGCCAAGAATGAAAAATATAGCATGAATTATATTATTTACAGATCGCGAGAGCTATTAGGGAGATATGATTAAATATACTTTAATGTTTAAAAAATTATTCATTATTAATATTGTTTAAGTAATAAGCATTATAACAGTACAAAGAGCTATATTGTGGAAAAAGGAATTTTCGACAATATACGCAGTTTTTAAATAATTATGGTTATTTTTTAACTTTTATCAAAACCATGTACTTATGGATAATATTATACATTTATTACTAATTTTATTAATTAATAACTATTTGTGGTCCGTTGCTGACATTAATAAATATCTTCTGATGTATTAAGTTTGGAATAATGCAATAATAAAAATGTAAATTTCATCTCCCTGATAAATGTCACAATTTGTAAATATTTATCTGTTTTTATAACGTTTAATCTTCTTCCTCTTGATCTGGGTCATATTCTGTTTTTTAAATGGGGTTCATATTTTTCTTTTCTATATTACGTTTACTATATTGGTGTGAACTCTCTTTTCTAAAACTACATGGACTTATTTTGGCAGAATTATTACTTTAAACAGTGTTTCTCCCTTATACCATATCTTTTAAAAATCTAGATCTTTGCATTTTCTTGAATGACTTTATGAGTATTATGAGTTCAAGAATAATTAGTAATTACATATGGAGAATATTATACAGTAATTTCTAATTTTTTCACTTACTAACTCTTTGTGCTCAGTTGTTGACATTAATAGCTTATCTGCTGATGTGTTAAAATTTTGGAATAATGCAATAATAAAAATTTAAATTTCATCTTTGATAGATGTAGCGATCTCTTAATCTGGGTCAGTAAAGAAAGAAGAACCGGATGCTAAATATCCAAAGGCACTGATCAAATATTTTGGGGCACTAGGAAAATCTTGTTTTTTTTTTGTTTTTTGTTGTTGTCTTTTTGTTTCTTGCAACTTTATTATTTATTTATACATTTTGATAATAGTGTACCTAAATATCAGAATATTAATATAATGATTTTTACTTTATTTTATTTTATTTTTTTAATCATTTCACCCGCAAGGAAGGCGATAATGCCACTAAGATGTCAGAGGTTCCTGTGCATGAAAGAAAATGAGAAGACTTTAGTGAGGAAAATGTGCATCTACTAACTAATATCTATTAATTAATCATAAATTATATTAATAACTTCTGATATCACGAGTACAAATTTTCATTTTTGTTTGGCTTTTTGTTTTTATTTTATTTTGCTTTGTTTTGTTTTGGATGTTTGATATAATTTCAAATATTAAGTTTAATCTAAAATATTCTTTAACAGAAAATATTGAACTTTCAATGAAAAAGCAAATCATTTAAAGTCCACCTTATGTAATCAGTGGAAATAAATCAATTGCCAAATTTCCCTATATTTCTGAGATGAAGTATTATGCGCATTATTTACATTATTCGGATTATTGTCCTCATTTTCGTTGACATATTTATTACAACGTTTCAGCCGTTGTACACTCCGGCCTTCTCCAGGTGACTGGAATGTCAAACTGAACCCTTTATTTCTACCCTAGTGAGCAAATAAAGGGTACAGTTCGACATTCAACCACCTGGAGTCGAGCGTACAATGGCCGAAACGTTAAATAAATATGGCAACAATGATGAGGACAATAGTCCGAATAATGTAAATAGTGTACATAATACCTCATCTCAGAAATATAGACGGATACTGAAGGGCCGAAACGTTATAATAAATATGGCGACAAAGACGAAGACAATAGTTTGAATAATGTAAATAGTGTACATAATACCTCATCTCGGAAATATAGACAGATACTGAAAGACAGAAACGTTGTAATAAATATGGCGACAAAGATGAGGACAATAGTCGGAATAATGTAAATAGTGTACATAATACCTCATCTCAGAAATATAGACAGATACTGAGGGGTCGAAACGTTGTAATAAATATGGCAACAATGATGAGGACAATAGTCCGAATAATGTACATAGTGTACATAATACCTCATCTCAGAAATATAGACGGATACTGAAGGGCCGAAACGTTATAATAAATATGGCGACAAAGACGAAGACAATAGTTCGAATAATGTAAATAGTGTACATAATACCTCATCTCAGAAATATAGATAGATAATAATTGTCTCGTTCTGTTTATTTCAATCTCGATAATACACAGAAACCGGAAGTTGTCCTAAACAAGAGGAATCTAAAATTTGTTGAAACGTTGAAATTCAGTTCGATTTCACGTTACCACGTCTAGTCATCGTAAAGAAAGAAAAAAGTCTATCAGTAAATTCCGTAAGCGCTGTAGAGTATGGAACGAATCTGAGAGGGTATAGTTGGATAGGGATGTCAATTTTGCCAAGGAACTGAAGAAAATGTCTTGTATTATTGCAACGAATGTAGTCAACATTACTGAAGCATTTGGAACATTCTAGAAAATACTTTCAATAAATAATATAGAAAAATATAATATAAAATATATATACGATTTTCTGTTAACAACGAGAGAGCTTGGCATGTCTAGATACAGGCCTCTCTGCAATTGGTCAAGATCCGAATCTTTTTAAGATGTCTCATACTAGTAAAATGTGGAGGAAAACAGCATTCGGCAATTGGCAAGACACGGTGTCCTGTGAAGTCGGTCTCGTGGGCGTTTTTTTCTTCTATTTTCTTTAATTTCCGAGGCAGTGTTATTTTTTGTGAAGTCCCGTCACTTTCCCTTCTGTCCCTATAATCTCCTTAGTTGTCGAGAGAGCAATCGGCTAGGTGCCCTCCCCCCCGCATCTCAAAAGACTTTTTGCTTACATTACAACATCCGCCGTTGAATGATTGCAAATTTGCTTTGCAAATCTTTTAGCATTTTCTGGCTACGATTTTCTCCGCTGCCTTATGACTGCTTCATGTTTCATGGTTTGCCTTGTAAATCTTTTAGTATTTTCTTACTCTGCCGTTAACTGTCGTCTTGATCCATCGTGTGCCTTTAAAGTCTTTTAGCATTTTCTGGTTACTATCTTCTATTCTGCTGTTGATTGTTTCATGACCCAACGTTTACATTGGAAGTCTTTTAGCCTTTTCTAGCAACGATTTTCTACACTGCGATTGACTGTTTCATGATCCAAGGTGTGCCTTTAAAGTCTTTTAGCCTTTTCTAGCAACGATTTTCTACACTGCGATTGACTGTTTCATAATCCAAGGTGTGCCTTTAAAGTCTTTTAGCCTTTTCTAGCAACGATTTTCTACACTGCGATTGACTGTTTCATGATCCAAGGTGTGCCTTTAAAGTCTTTTAGCCTTTTCTAGCAACGATTTTCTACACTGCGATTGACTGTTTCATGATCCAACGTTTGCTTTGTAAATATTTTAGCATTTTCTGGCTACTATAGTTTACTCTGTCATGGGCAATTCAATAGTTTTTTGACTGTCTTGTCAAATGACTTCAGTACTCACCTGTTCTCTTTTTTTTACTTTTGTTTTTACAAAAATTTTATTCATATAAATTAATAGAATCATTGTTCCGTCATCAACGTATTTTTTTAGTAACTTTATATAACTTTACCTTACCTTTGATGTAAAGTGTGTATTTCATCATAAGACTGGGATTCAGACGCTCGATTTTTTTTTAATTTCTTTTTCTTTTTTTTTTTTTTTTTTTTTGTTACTGTCACCTTGTTAGAAACGGTACACACAAAACAGGATTCCTTACTATGCCATATGTATTTCATCGTCCTTTGACAGCGTGTCAACAGACTCCAATGCTGATCAGTCATTTTCATTCGTTTTTTTTTTTTGTTTTGTTATTACAAAGCTATCAACGTTATCTCTCTGGTGTAGAGCTTTATACATGACGTAGGCTTCCGATACAAAGTTCTCGTTTCACTGGTTCATTATGTACAATATTTACAGTCGGATTAATGTCCACATCTTTGTTGTTACAATTAGAACGTTTCAAATGTCCTCCTGTCTTCTTCCTACGTCTGTCGATCTAGTTAACCTTCAGGGAATTTCGAATTGAACACTTTATTCAATATACGAATCAAACTGCTCTCATTCCGCTCTCCGTATATAGGTTTACCATGCCTTAGTTAACTGTTCAGTTATTGCTAACTGTATTCCTTTAATTTTTAGTATATCCGTAGACCGCCCAGGGTTTGAACATTTTGTGATTGTTAATAAACTCACTAACACTTTAAACTTTTAGTTCATGGTCCATTTTAGAAAGTCTCATTATAGTACACCTACAGATAATACCGATGAGATTATATCATTGTATGAATTTTTTTGCTCTTTAAACTAAACAGCAAAATTACAATTATTTGATTACACATTTTTTAAAATAGATTTTATTTTATTCATATAAATAATTTCATTATTCGAAATGTTTTCCCGTTCTTTCTATTACTTCACATTACCTCTCAAAGTTGTGTATCTCATCATAAGAGAACGATTCCAATTTTAATCCAATTGTCTTTATTATTTTCACGTTGTTGGAACTACTAATCAAGCAAGTGATTTTGTATAGCGCCAAGCAAGTAATAATTTAAATGTGATAAATTTGAAGAACATGCTTCATGTTGAACCTTACGTACCAACTCAATCTTCGTTTCTTACCTAGCATTTGCAGCTTGATTTATGATTAATGTTATGCCACATATGAACGATCGACTACCTTGCCTAGGAAATGTCTTTTGTGTCACAATACGTAATTCAAACAATTCAATTGATATATGTCTAGAAAATCGTAATAAAAATTCCTTTTGAATACTTACATACAAAGATAAGGTTTTCCTCTGTAAATTCTGGTTGTGTTGAGAAGTTTAAAAACAGTACAGGACTGAACTATAAGTTTCTTTCTTTTAGGATTCTTTAAAAAACAATTCATTAACTATAACCTCTCTCTCTCTCTCTCTCTCTCTCTCTCTCTCTCCCACTCTCTCTGTGCAAAAAGGGAGAGGCAAACTCTTTGTTTTTTAAGCTGATATTCATTTCTATAAATTTATGTAAACAATTTTTCCTTTCTTCTGAATTTTCTTTTCTTTATTCTTCTTCTATGTACCGTTTCCCTTCAGGACGTAGGTGATCATGGCTCTCTATAATTTCTTATCCTTTGTAACTCTTAATAAATCTGGTCTTTTTTTTATTCCTCCCAAATCTTGTTTTGCAATCCATTTTCTCAATCCCGCTAGGTAAGTTATACCTTGTTTCCCGCTGTCCTTCCTGCATTCAGTCTGTCCTGTGAGTATCAAATTTTCCAAACCTTCTATCCTCATTATGTGCCTTTGAAATTTCAACTGTCTCTTCCTTTTGTTACGTATGTTTCATTCTTGCTTCCATTTTCCCTAAAATTTCGTCGTTGCTCACATTTTCGGTCTATGATATACTCAGCATTCTTCTGTAGAACAATATTTCTGTTGTTTCAAGTCCATTCTTCATTTGTGAGGAGCTTGTCCAGTATTCACTCTCATATGGCAATCTGAACTTTTGTACATAATCATTGCGTTTCGCCTCAACTGTTGACTTAGAATAGAGATTGAGTGAAAACAATTCTCTTCAGTAGTTTATAACTCATTCTTTTATACTTGTTGATTTAAGTAATGTTGTCTCCTGGATTAGTACAATTCTTCCTTTTCTGCCAGTTCCTCTAACAATCTTGCAATATTTTCAGGATTGTTGTAAAAGCATTACTACTGTGACATGCATATATCCCTTCTCTGTTCCAAAATCGTTTTTTTCAATTTCCAACAATGTCCAGATATTTTCTCAAATTTTCATTTTCTATCAGCTTTATTCAAAATGAAACATCGACATTCACTATCTAACATATTCTCTTTATTTCCATTCAACTACTTTCCAAGTTTTGGTTCACCACTGCTGTGGTCTGGTATTGAACCCACAATTCTTTGGGTCTAGTGAACCAAGACTTGGAGAGTTGGGTTAAAAGGAAATAACTGAGACATCCGGAAAAGTCGTGGCAGGTGGAAATAGAACAATCTACTCAGTTAGACGAAATAAAGGGGCTGGTTCGAAATTCCAATCACCCGAGGAACGTCGGAGCATAGAACGACCGAAACGCTGTGAATATGACAAACAAGATGAGGATAACAGACCTAATAATGTAAATAATAGAAGTAATTATAATACATCATCTCAGCGATATAGACATATGTATCCTTTTTTATTACAATAATGTTAACCCTGTACAAGGCCAACACTACAATGGGCGCATATGTCGGTTCTTAGCCGTGAAGCATATAACTGACAGAACTAATGTATGTAGTTCATCTGAACACTTCCCACGTTTTGTTTGGGGGAAAGAAGATGTAAAGTAGAAAAGAATTAATCACCCACAAGGCTGCATAGACGTGTTTGGACTGTAACGAGAGTGGAAATTGAAGACTGGGCAGCTCCTGTCCATATACGGCAGTAGTAATCAATTTTTGGTCTGATCTGGCTTTTGTGTAGGTAAAGGATAGCAGGAGGAGTCAGGAAAATACTGGATGGGTAGAGGAAACCCGACCATTTTCCCAGTATCCTTAGCAATGGATCGTATGAGTTCCACTTGAGGTCTAGGGTGAGCTTATAAACGCTCAATGCATAGGGTCTCGCTAACAAATCACTGTTCATCGTGCTAAGCGCAAATTTAGGGGTTGCTCGGTGATTAATTTTAAGTTTTATTTTTGTAATCAAGAAGAGGCAAGTCTGTAGAATTGAATGAGGATATTTACTACAGTCCATCTTATTTCAGCAAGACAAAAATTGTACATGGTAACATCTTCAGTCATTTAAGATTAGAAGCCATGAGAGCTATGCCCTGTGTATCATCAGTGCTTTCATCATTATTATTGTTATCCTATTATAATTGTGCTTGCCCCTCTATTTGTTAATTCGCACGACCGTTATGCCCTGCCAATATCTCATAAACAATGGACTATTGCATTTTGATTGCGTGGAAAGAAGGGAAAAGACACAATTTAGCTTCAGTGAGAAAATGAAAGAAAGTAAGACAAAAAGAGAGTGCAGAGAGAGAATCAAATGAAGCTGATAAGAACAGATACTACACTTTGGTCTTAACCAAAACGCCTAGAAGCGATGTTTATTCGTTCCCCCACGAGGACGAGTTGTGACACAAGGTCTTTTCATAGTGGGCACCCGATCGCGTACACCCAGGCAAAGGACAAAAATTGCCCATAGCCCCCGCAACCGTCGGTTGCTCTGACCTCGGTGCAAGCACCGATCCCTCCCTCTTGTGCAATGGGAGGGCGCGGCCTCGGGCAGCTGTTGCCCAGTGCTGGGCACCTCTTCAATATAATTTTCCCAGTTGCCCCTCTGTCCTCTGACAGAGAAGCCCCTTAGCGCCCTCTGCCCAAAGACAAAGATGCAACTGAGAGATGATAAGCCATCTCAGCCAAAACGCCTAGAAGCGTTTGTATTTTCTTGCCGCCTCTCGTTGGTAGGATGTGACACAAGGTCTGTTTAATGTGGGGAGACCGAAATTGTTCACCGGTCAAAAAATAACCCCTCGGTTGCGCATGCATCGGTAGTACTACCAATCCTCCAATCTTTAGTGCAATGAGGGGTACTACCGCGACAGCTGTTTCCTGAGACCTTGAACCTCTCAATAATGTTTTCATTTGCGCTCTGTCGGCAGAGACACAACTGGGAAATGAACTGTAGTTTATCCACCCGAGGGCAGATACTACACTTTGATCCCATTCAAAAGGCATAAAATCGCCATTTTTCGTGTAAGGAAATCGTCAAAAATCCATTTACCATAAATAAAACAACATCGTCTGCAGAATTATTTTTTAATCATTACTAAAAAATATATTTGTAAGACGTGAATTTCACTTTTTCTGGCATAGTAATGGCTTACTGATTCAAGATACAAATTAACCCATAACTAGGAGGGAGAAGAGTTGGATTCATACCTTTCCCAAAGTTATTTACCCGTAAACAGGAATTGGAACTCGGCTCACCGAGTAACAATTCCCAGATATCATCCATTGCACCACCCGTACATCCTAGTTAACAGCATCTGGTATTCCCAAAAAGATCACTCATCTAGGTAATGACCAGGCTGAACGTTGCTTAACTTCGGGGATCGCAAGGAAACTGGTATTTTAAGCCTCAAATACAGAGGATACTTTTTTAGTTAGCATCACTTTTTTGTTTGTCCAGCAGGATTAATTTTGGCATTATTATTATTATTATTATTATTATTTAGTAGTAGTAGTAGTAGTAGTAGTAGTAGTAGTAGTAGTATACCATGCACTTGCTTGTTCAAATATAATGTATCCTGTTTACACTGAAGATGAGTGATAGCAAGAGCCTTCAAATCAAAAGCATCTTTATCAGTAGATTCAAATAACCCCGCAGTTTGGGAAGTTAGAATTATTCCTTATATTTTCAATTCATTCAGTCGATTTTATAGATTTTGTTCCAAGTGTACAAACTATTATTGCTATGATTCCAATGATTACAGATTTCACGAACTGCAGGCGAAATCATTTCTAGAATCTTTTATTTTCTTTTGTCTTCACCCTACTCGATCACACAATCAGCTGCCCCCCCCCCAATCTAAGTACTGACCTAGCTCTACGATGGTTAACTACATACATATATACATTTTGCATGAAAACCTTCGTAAGCTGTGATTGTGAGTGCAATTTGTTTAATATTGAATACCTTCAATGAGTCTGTCAGAATCTTTTCCAATGAAACCAAAATTGGAATTATTAATGTCCTCATGTGCCATATTTTTGAGATTTTCACTTCAAGATACTTGTATTTTGATTTTTTTTTTTTTTTTTTTGCAAGAACGGTCATGTTAAAAAGAAATCACTTTCTGATCTTATGGTCTTTGATCCTGATGTCTGACGGTTTAAACTTGATTCTTCTGTGTGCATTGTAAAGTCCTATAAAATTGTTCTAAGTCCTATGTCTGGGTAATGTTCATACCAATTTATTCCCGTAAAAGTTTCAAATTTTCCAGTGCGTTTATTTCATTTTATTGGATATATTCTGTTCTGTGCATACTCCGTTGTTCTGTATGATTAAAAGTTAACCATTTGCACAGTTCCCAGTGATTTACCTTCCCTATCCAGTTTTTTTATCGCTATCAGAGGATTCAAGGAAGTAAAGTTACAAGGTGTGGAAGAATTAGGGACAGAAACATTAATAATGAGAGGGAAGGGGAAAGACTAATAAGTAGGACAGTGGATATCAATTGACATTTCGTTAAAATTTTTGCTGATCAAAGTTGGCTGGAAAGCATCAAGCCGGAAGGGAGTTCCACAAGCGAGTAGTATGAGAAAAGAAACTATTAGCATAGAACTTACAGATTACATCTTGCCAGCTCAACTTTAAATTGATGAGATGTCGTTGCCAATCTAGTACTGCGCTTAAATTCGAAAAGTCTAGGTAACATAGCGATGAACGTATTTATAGAAAAGACATAGAAAGGCAAGATTACGGCGGTGAGAAAGTGACAAGCCGAGCCGCCACATCAGGACCAATAATATTGCTGATTTTTCCTTGGATCTTATCAACGAGCTCAAGGTAAATAGCAGAGGAACCGGAATATTCTTTTATTGTTTCTATGTCAATTTGCAACATTTGCTGATTATGTGGCTCACCGTTTCAATTTGGCTTCCACACAGTCGATATTTGCTTTTCTCCAGGCACTCTTGGACTTTATATAGTTTGGTTTTGTGTTGGTTTGTGGACCACTATTAAAAGCGATTTGATTCAACTTAAGGTTTCCTCTTCGTAACTTAATCCATACAGATTTTCTTGCCAATTTCTTGATATTTTTTCTTAAGTATCCTTATAACTGTTTTTATCCTATTACAATTGTGGCTATTGTTGTTAAGAAGACAACGTTTAAAATTACCACAAGCAGTCCTGCTGCAACCATATATTACTAATGTTATTAATAAGTATTGCGCTTACCTTATAAAAAAAAAAAACACGTG